AGTAGGACACTCTCTTCTATTATCTACTCTTGCATACACCGAGGCAATGCAGGCAAATGAGGCAATCATGCCCATAGGCGGCTACAGAATCTTGAATTAACCAGGGCTCATTAATTATTCATAAGAATTAGGGGTGTGGTCAATTAATAAAATGACTGAAAGTCCTTATGATAGCTCACAGAAGCCAGTTATCACACTAAAATTACAGTAAAGTGGAGCTGATAGCAAGTATAAACAGTTGTGGCTATAAAAAATGAATTCTAGTGATGATATCACTCCTAATAATAACAAAACACACCTTTTGGGTGTGGTTTTGGTTGAAAATGACCAGGGCATTGCAGTCGGGTGGCCAAGCCTGATTTCCTCTTTCTAACCGGAAGTGACGTTTTTGTCAAAATGGCTGGCTTTTGGTGTGGTAGTGCCTCTTGCCTATTTTGATGATTTATGTCAAAACTAAGAATTCTACAGATGCTTTTTTGTTCTCTGCACCTTTAGCATTAGATAAAGATATAGATAACTGATCTTCTACATTTATAATCAAGAACTGTTCTTGTTTCAGGCGCTTGTTTCCACTGTAAGGATTTAAAATGGCTGACACAAAAATCATATTAAATTCTATAACTTGTGAAATAGAGCTAATGCATTCACAGTTACAAGGTAGCTTGTTAGTATTATAGATGCCTGTTATTCTGCAGAAGTTTCATTGCTGTAGGAGAAAGCAGAACGTTTTTCTAAGAAATAACTGAAAGGTCCCAGCAAGTAGCCTAGCTATGTGTTTGTGTGTGTTTATCACTGTTGTATCCATGAGTTTAGCTTATAATTCTTCATATATATGTAAATTATAGTTAATGCAGGGGTTTTTAACTTACTTTATACCTGTGTTTGGCAGGTATCCTGAGCTTTCATGATGGCTGCAATTTTGATTCATATTTGTACTCATTTGAACTGTGTTAAGCACCTGGTTGGCTATTTTGGCATTATAGATCAAGGTTATTGTGAGGACATAGACATTGATTGCAATTATTTTCTTGCTGGCTAAAGATATCATGATTTATTATAATTTTTATAATAAATTTTAATCAATTTAATTACACTTAACAATTAAAAAAAATTGTAACTTCAGTATTCTTTGGAGTGCAATCATGAAATTTTGGTATGTGGTACTTAAAAGGTGTTTTTACAAGGTAATTGTTGTCTTATAACTATTCCTTGT